AGCGTGAATTACTTCTACGACTGGGAAGCTACTAGAGCAGACCTCACATGAATGCTTAAATGAAGGGTTGCTACGAGGGCGGTTGGGTTGAAGTGTGAAATAGCATTCATGGGTATCTGCGACGTGTACATAAGAGTGAAAGAAACAGAGTGGACCATCAAGATGGATTGGGATTGAGGATTGGGTGCCAAAAGCTCTCCACCCATCTAAGCTATTATGCCATCAATAAGTTAACCGAGCCCTTAAACACCATTCCCAGAAACCGTGGCCGCGATTTGCTTTTGAACAATTAATCCCAATTTTTGGTATCCGGAAGAGCGCAATATTTTGTCATTAAGATCGTTGGAAAACCCGTCATTGCGGAACTAGACTAGACATTTGGGCTAGTTTAGATCTTGACAGCGGACTCAACGGCCTTGCGCTTCTTCTCCTGGCGGGCGACGGCCTTGGCGCCCATGATACCACCACCCCAGTGACGGCGGGACTCCTCGTACTTGTCGGTGTAGCCCTCCTTGATGGTGGAGAGGAGCTTGGCGAACTCGGACTGGTCCTCAGAGCGGACCTCAGTCAGAGCGAGGACGGCAGCAGTCTGATGATCGGATTAGTACCATGTTTCTTACTTTACAATCATAAGTGATTCCTACCTTCTTGTGGACAACGGTACCGAGACGAGCCTTGCCCTTGACAATGGCGTAAGGGACACCCATCTTGCGGCAGAGAGCGGGAAGGAAGACAACCAGCTCAATGGGGTCAACGTCGTGGGCGATGAGGACAAGGGAAGCCTTCTTGTTCTCAACGAGACCAACGACGTGGTTAAGACCGTACTTGACGTTGTAGGGCTTCTTGGAGACATCCTCCTTCTTCTTGCCCTCGGCAACGGCGGTAGCCTCAGCGAGGAGACGCTCCTTCTTCTCGGCCTTGGTCTCAGGGCGGTACTTGTTGAGGAGCTTGAAGGTCTGGGCAGCGGAGTTGCGGTCCAGGGTGCTCTGGAACTGGGCAATGGCAGGGGGGACCTTGAGACGGAGGTTCAAGATCTTCTTCTGGCGCTGAAGACGGACATACTCGGGCCACTTAACGAAACGGCCGAGGTTGCGCTTGGGCTGGATGTCCTGGCCAATGCCGAAGTTGCGGGAGCGCTTCTCGATGAGAGGGTTCTGGTCGTATGTTAGCATCTCATGTGCTTCCTAGCAAGGGGCGTTTCTATTTCTACATACCTTGGGGGCCTTCTTAGAACCAGCCTTACCCTGGGGGTAGGGCAGAGGGGCGGCCTTCTTTCCGGACTTGGGAGGCTATCATTGAGAAAAGAAGATCAGCACATTGTGTCCACCAACGCTGCATCTTCCTTGAACTCTAGAGAGAACACCGATCTAGTTGTGTATTTCAACTACTAAACCGGGTCTCCAGCCAAATCATCGCTGATGCTCGCATCCCGAAGGACTTGTGCAAACAGCGGAATATGCTTCGAGACTTGCGAAATGAAGCCGACGAGATCGTCTCACGACATGTCGCAGAGGTTTTCGAAAGCTAGACAACTAAATCAACTGGGCGTTATATGCTTACCATTGTTGTCGACTGAGTTCCGCAACGGCGCTGGGTGACGGGATTGACGAAGAGAGGAAGAAAGGGAAAGTTCGAAGTAATTTCAGCTTAGCAGAAAAGAAAAGCTAGTCGCTTCGTGCGTGGGCCGCGCTAGTGCGGATAAATTTCCTAGCCGATCCGGTTCCAAACCACATATCCACGTGACATAGGGCTAGCCCTCTGCCGCCTAGCCTCTTCCTACGTTGAATTCCTATTCGTCGCATTTTACAAGTATACAATAGGACTTCCTTTCTTTCATCCATCTACTTTTGATCCACCCGTGAGTGTTAGTAACCATTCTTATTATCCCAGACTTTGTCTAAGTTGATATCTTGGACTACCACATCGTTGTGTGCCAACTACGATGTCCTCTGCATTAGTTTCACAGTTTGCCTCAGGTCTTGTGTTCTCCCCAAACCACAGTATCCAAAAAAGAATTTATAGTTGAACACGCCGAGCCTTCAAGTATTCGTAATCTGGCATGGCTTCCAGGACCGCCTTCTCTAGAAGAAGACTGGTCTCGTCACCAAATTCCTCCCTCCATTTAAACACCTCAGTAGCGACGTCCAATGCCACCGGCGCCTTATCTTTCAAAACCCCAGATGATCCCGCTAAACTAGAGAGCATGATTGCGTGAGCTTCCTTGCTATGAAAGCGCACGTTTTGCTCAGTAGGGTCCCTCTGTTCGACAGTGGTTCCGTTACTCGGCGCACCATTAGCATCCGACTTCTTCTCCCACTCAAACTTGAGTTTGTTGGAATCCAGGCCCGCCAGCTCGCAGAATCGAGATACCACTTCGGGATTGTGAATCACATCATGGGCGTCCAGCAACAATGGCTTGGAGTCAGAGTCATTGTTCTCCATGCCGTAGTTGTAGAGCATCCGAGTCCACCTCAGCGACATATTCGTCTCTAAGACGCCAGGCAGCTCCTCTTTTTGAAGAACACCGGCGGCCACCATCTTTATCATTGCACGATACAAGGACGGGAACACCAGTGCCGGATGACGAATGATGAACGCTAGGCGCCAGGTGCGCAGATACTCGTCCGGAAAGACGGTCTCGTTATTTGGGGAGAAAGTCTGGGGGACCCCATAGGTGGCTGGGATTTGTACATGGAAAAGGGAGTCATAGCTACCATCGGTGCCATGGATCATCCGGCTGAATGACATTGGGTTGCAGAGCCAGAAAGCATGCTCTTTGGTGACCAGCATTTTGCCTTCTTTTTCGGCACGGTTGCTGTATTCCTCCAGGTTGTCCACACATTCCTGGAATGCAGACCGAACTTCATCGCACTCTTCAGTAGTCCATTGGTCGGCTGGCTTATACATGCGGCCATCCTTAGAGGCGGTCGTATAGGCTTTCATAAGGAAGTAGCCGCCCTGCTCATTGGCGAGGACATTGGGTTGCTCTGATAGAGCAAGGATCTTTAGAAGGAGATTGGATGCTGTACGGGGATAGCTGACGAGGAGAAGTCGACGGGGGGTCATATTGAAGTATAGGGCTGAGTATAGCAATCGGGTCGATAGGCTTAAACTTGTCCGGGTCAATCAAGGAAGAACTGGATGGTGAAATCCCGTAAAGCGATGGTGTGATCGAGGAGCTTCGATGCTATTTAAGTAGCTTTATGCTCCAGTCACTTCCGTTAGAAACGCCATTATTACCCTGCCGAAACTTTCGCGCAGTACATAACCGCTGGTAGCCCTCCTGAATAACGATTATCGGCCAATCAAATATGGTTTAGACACTGAATGTCACTCTGATGGAACTTCGGCGCGTAGGGTGTGGTAACTTGGTAAGTCATCTCCGAGGTTGGTGGTTTCGTTTCTTACAGATAGCATAGGACAATCTTGTTATCATGCAGTCGACGTGGGCCTGGTCAGCAGACCCGCGCCCCAGACGAGCCTGTCATAATCAAACCCCGGGCATGGCGTTGCGACTAGGCCAATCAGTGCTGCAAAGCCTGCTCCACCATGGCGGACCTTGACATGACACTTTGTCGCATTAATGCATTGCACTGATGTTCTGGTGACAGTGAATGGCCTCGGAGTTCTCGCTCCCTTCCAAAAGCCGAAGCCGATAAGTATTGTCTCTCTATTGGGTCCTTAGAGAAGCATCTCCACTGCAGATCGACAAGGGGCACCGAGCCGAGCCCAATGGAGGACGTCAGTGCTGGGTTCTGGGGTACTTTTCTGGGACCCTCTCGGATGTTCTCTTGCCTTTCAGGGCTAGCGAGAGGCGGTTCCCACTTGACAGTTGCCCAGTGTCGGAAAGCCAGCTTCCGACAGCCGTCGCCTGTTTCACTTCATTCATCAAGGTGGGCGGAACATACTCCGTGGAGGAAGATGCAGTTATTGCAACCTTTATTACTATCTACGGATGACAGAAGGTTGGTTAGCTGCCCATACATGGGGCGCTTATGTCTATTGATGTGTGTGAATCTCCCATTCAGATCAACTGGGACTGGTGCCATGATACCTGCGGTATAAGTTGAAGGATAGAATAACTCATACGTTTGGAGTTCATTGATCTGTCACAATAGTTGTCCAGTCACATCCACCTACGACCTGCAATTGTTGGGTAGTTTGTTGGTGGTATGGAGACCTAAACCCTAGTCAATAGAAGGAAGGTTATACTACCAATGTCTAAGACCTTGCATATACAGGTTTCATATGAAGAAGGGTCTAAATCTAGAAGACAGCTACTCGAATGCTTAGAGTAAGATTATGGCTGCTGTTGTATAACATCACAGGCAAGGGAAAAGCAAAATACCAACTATATAGCTTTGCGCCAACCTTTTTGCTTACACCACCTTAATAAAACTCCTCAAGGGAATTGAGGGATATGGAATGATATGAAAGGCCATAGATCCTTTCTGGTATTATCTTTTGTCCAAATAATGGCGCCCATCTACGTACGCAACGTTGCAATTTACCTAATACTAATGGAAAGAGGAGGAGCCCCCCTAACCTCTTCTTGCAGCCCAGCCCAAAGTAAACACTAATTCTAGCGTCTAGGCTCGGGGTCCTGACACGTTCGCGCTATATGTTCCAGAGTAGGTTTTGCTATTCTAGATCTATCCTTTACAGCCACTTGCCTTGGTTGTCCCAATGCAAGTGTGTGTTGAAGATATAATGCCATTCGTTCCTCTACCATAGTTTACAAGCCACGTCTGCTTTTCAGGCAGAGTATGCGTCCAAGTATAGAGAGGAAGTGGGTCTTCTGCTCTGGTATCCCGTATTGGTCTATTGCGATATCAAGATCGACACAGGTACAGATGAACGCACGAGGGAAGGACTAATACTATATGAACATTGATTGCAGCAGATGATTAAATGCACATGATCCCTACCAACACCCACACCAACAGACAGTCACGAAAAGATAACCTCTATAAAAACACCAAGGAACTAGTAGAATATGATCAGAACCCATCCCACCTTTCGAAATTCCCAGCATCCAAGCCAAACATATCCAACATCCTGCCCACACTCTGCGTAACGATATCATCCACACTCTCCGGCATCGTATAAAACGCAGGCATGGGCGGAAAGATCACCGCTCCATAACGGGTTAGATCCAACATATTTTCCAAATGAATGGCACTGAGCGGCGTCTCTCTCACGACCAATACAAGCTTTCTCCTCTCCTTCAACGTTACATCGGCCGCTCTGCAGATCAAGTCATCGGCGAATCCCGTCCGTACTGCGCTCAGCGTCCTCATACTGCACGGCACGATGATCATCCCATCGGCCTGAAACGAGCCACTCGATATGGCTGCGGCGGCGTCATTCACCGGGTAGGTTCGGGTAGCGAGGGCGCGCACGTCGTTCGCTGTATACTTGGTTTCGTACTTGATTGTCTCGACCGCCCAGCGGCTGATGACTAGGTGCGTTTCGACGTTCATTTCTCGTAGGCGTTCGAGGAGGCGGATGCCTAGGATTGCCCCCGTTGCTCCTGTCATTGCGACGATGATTCGCATGGGCCGGGTTGGAGGGGGTTGAAGACGTGTGGATTGGGGGCTTGTTTCTGCCACTGCCATAGCTGCTGTCTTTGTGTCCCATTTGTAGGAGAACCGAGATATGCGTAGATTAGGGAACCGGTTTGTTAAGTAGAGAAGGCTCCCTACAAGGACGATGATTGCACTGCCAATCCAGCCCATCTTGTACGACTGTACATTGGTGTTTTGAGGTTGGAGTTTGGGATGGACTGCAGTGCTAGCCTTATACTGTATACCTATGCGGGTATACTATAAGACAGACGAACTGAACTAGCCTATAGCTATCGTTCTTGTGGATTCCAGGCTATGCTTTGGGAAATATCCTCAACATTTTGATGGTTACCTCCGAATATTGTTGCCGTGATATCCAGAGCCTGTCTAAGCGAAAACAAGAATTGGAGAAAATTTTTGGCAATTCTACGCCATTGACGACATTTAATATCATTGCAGCAGACTATACAGCTGCACCATAGCTATTAGTATAGGGTCAGCTGGTCGGTTGCGGGGCCGATCAATAGCGAATTGGAGTACGTGGTGGTCTCGGGATCCCCAAATTGGGGAAATTCGGCTGATGGTTCCGACTGCATGTTTACGTTGAGTTATGCAAGGACTATGGTATCATGCATGTCGTAGCTCACGAGACAGAGAGCATTACTATTTAAGTAGAATGGAATTACAATGTAAACTTTGATGCCTTCAGATTGTTACGAAGACAAAGATCAATCCTCGTCTAAATTTTCTATCTAGTCTTATCGTGTCCACGAAGGTTTCCAGGCAAAATGGACTACACTGCCGCCGCGAAAGACTTCCGCCGTTTCATTCAAGAGCTGGAAGACGAAGGAGAGCTCCTGACAATCACCAAAGAAGTCGACCCCAACCTGGAGCTCGCAGCCATCGTGCGAAAGGTGTGTGAAACTGGAGAGCGAGCCCCGTTGTTCACAAACCCTAAAGGGCGTAAGGACAACGGGTTGTTTCGCGTCATTGGAGCCTCCATAGGGTATAGCAAGCGTCCTGGGATGCAGCTTTGTCGATTGGCTAAGTCGCTGGGGCTTCCGTCATCTGCTACTGGCCATGAGATCGTCCACAGGATCAATGAGGCCAAGTCAAAGCCTCCAATCCCATGTCGGAAACTCGAGTCGGGTCCCGTCAAAGATCATATTATTCATGGTGACGATATAGATCTGACACAGTTGCCTGTCCCGCTTTTGCATGAGCATGACGGAGGCAAATTCATCGAAACAATGGGCATGCATGTCGTACAGAGCCCTGATGGGAAATGGACTAATTGGTCCATCAGTAGGGGCATGGTTCACGGCAAGCGTGAGCTGGTTGGCCTGGTGATCCCAAAACAGGACATTGGGACAATATTCAATCTTTGGAAGGAGAAAGGCGAAGACATGCCATGGGCTGTATGTTTCGGAGTGCCGCCTGCGGCCATCATGGTCGGCGGCATGCCCATTCCCAAGTGGACCAACGAGCCGGAATTCATTGGTGCCTTAACCGACGCTCCAGTTGACATTGTTAAGTGCGAAACAAACGATCTCTGGGTGCCGGCCAATGCAGAGATTGTCTTTGAAGGGGTGGTTTCGATTAGTGAAACTGCTCCAGAAGGCCCCATGGTCGAATATAATGGCATGGTTTTCCCCGGGCACAAAACCCAGTGCCCTATCTTCAAGGTCAACACCATTACTTACCGCAACGATCCTATTCTTCCAATCTGTGTCGCCGGCCGAGCTCCAGACGAAAATTCCACCATCTGGTGCACCATGCAAGCTGCAGAGGTCCTTAACATCTGTCAGAAGGCCGGTCTTCCTATCAATATGGTTTGGTGTCCGTTTGAATCACATTGCTTGTGGTTTGTTCTTCAGGTGAACCACTCGAAACTTGTGGAAATGGGCACGAATATGGAGGAATTCTGCCACAAATTAGGACATACCGTATTCGGTTCCAAGCCAGGATGGTTTATCCCGAAAATCTTCTTGGTAAACGACTACATTGATCCAACCAATCTCTCAGATGTCATCTGGGCTGAAGCAACACGTTGTGAGCCTGGCAGGCATGAGTTTATTTTCACCGAGTATTCCAACATCCCCCTCATACCCTATGTTACACATGGCTTGCCGTCCAAGTCCGGAACGAATGGGAAAGTTGTCAAATGCTGTATGCTGCCCAGTGAGTTTACAGAAAAAACGCTACCATGGAAAGAGGGATCTTTCCAGGGTGCCTATCCGGAGGACGTTAAGAAAAAGGTGCTTGAAAACTGGACAGCGTATGGCTTTGCGCCTTTCTAGGTGACACGGTGTGACTATTTCCCTTGTTAGTTAAAATCCTTGTTTGTCATAATAGCAGGCGCCAGGGACATACTATCCTATCACATTTCGCCTAAACTCCAATCCATAACTTGTCATTCAAAGAACCCAACATGCATATTGTAATTTTAAAAAAAGACAAGAAGATATATATATCATAGATAATCACCTCCAAGCACCTATACCAGGGAACCCACCGCGCCCTACGCTAGAACTTGCCGCCTGGATAGCCTTCTTCTTCCCTAGAGAGCCCTCTTGACTCCGCACCCCAGCAACAATCTTATCGATGTTCGTTTCGACGACGACACCACCGACAATCATCTCACTCAGCACCGCATGCATCGTTTCATACCCGAAGATAAGATCCAGCTCGCATACATTCTCAAATATGCGGTCCAGCGCCTCGACGAAGACTTGAATCAGATCAATAAGTGCAAGTGGGGACTCGGTAGACGTTGAAATCATAATGAAAGAAAGAGTTGCATATGTCCGGTAGGTGACTTGTGTTGGAGCATCGGATGGGCCCTCTGCGCCGGAGCTAGCACCCCGAGAGAGCAATGGAGGGAGAGGCAGGAAGTTGCAAGCGCTTGGTGGACGCTGAGCGACTAGAGCGTAGGTCTGTTGTATAAGCGACTGTTTCGTTTGCGTATCCTATTTTCAAAGTGGCCTTGTATTAGCTAGTTTGCCTAGTAAAGGACGAGCATAGTTAACCAACTAACAATCTGGGTGTAGAACTTGCTCAGCCGCGGCTGCCCATTATTGTTGAAGACGAGAACCGCGTTGATCATTCTGACGGTTATGTGATAGTATATCTCTATTCAACTGCGCAGAGAGATTATAGGATATTGTAACCCGAAACCGCCGGGAAAATGAAGTTCATGTATCAAGTTGAAGCAACGGAATATTGTAAGCTCTCTTATCGGCCTGACTCCGCGGGGCGGCATGTCGGCAGAAAATACCCTTCCGAGATCTCTCCAGTGCTCGGAAGACTTTCTTATCCTGGATTTTATCTGGAGAAGCTCTCAGAGAGCAAACACAATGCTGTCGTTTCTTTACTGATCTATATCTTGACACTCCACTTATCGCTCTCATACGAGACCAGAATCAGTATCTCACGATGAAGCACACAATATACAGATGTACAACTTGCTCGCGTCAACGACTTCCTTTCACTCTCCGGCGAGCACTCTCAACCGACCTCACCCCGAATACTCCCTCGAACCCGAACAAAGTTCCACTCCACGACTTGACTCCTGCGGATATCTCCTACTACTGGGATACTCGAGTACCAAAGGAAACTGATCTAACCTACGCCGACAAATTCTTCGCACCTTCTCGTCACTCCCCAGTCAAAATATGGTCTGCTAGCAAATTCCGCACCACTCCTATGTCATCAGTAGAGCCTGAAGTTGCCTTCCTTGGTCGCTCGAATGTCGGGAAAAGCTCATTATTGAACGCCATCATGGGCAAGGAGATATGCTGGACATCTTCAAAACCGGGGAGAACGAGAGAGATGAATGCGTTCGGGATCGGAGGTACGAAAGGCGGCGAGTCGAAAATTGTTCTGCTTGATATGCCGGGGTATGGAAGGGCGAGTAGGACGGAATGGGGTATTGAGATTATGAAGTATCTTCAGGGAAGGAGGCAGTGAGTACATCTCTGGTTGTACTCGGGATATTCGATCCGCCCCAGCTGACTTGCAAACCCACGATCCCAGACTTCGACGGGTTTTTCTCCTTATAGATAGCTTACATGGTCTTAAGAAGACAGACGAGGATATCCTCAAGCTTTTCCGGAAACATGCCATTCCGCACCAGATTATCATGTCAAAAGTGGATAAGATTTTGGCCAAGAAGAAGAGTCAGGTGAAGAGCGGAGCATCAGCGGCAAAAGTCGCTACACTACAGAACTTATTGCAAAGTTATAGGCCAATCCTTCAACCTGATGGTCGGTTGGAAGGGCCTGGCGCCTTAGGTGAGATCCTGACATGCAGTGCAGAGACGCCCATCGGCCCCGGCAGGTCGTTAGGAATCAGCGCAATCCGCTGGGCTATTTTGTCGGCTGCGGGATTTGATGGGAATATGAAAGCGCAACCCGTACCCACCGAGTCGCAGGTTGCTCACATCTCTACCGCCGCATCTTGAAATATAATTCAAGCAGCACTACTGTCTTTGAAAAGGAGTCAGTTAGAAACGCGGAAGTGACTTGGTTATATCATCTAATTGCAGGTGAATCCCACAGGGTGGTACTCAATGCCAGGTCCTGCAAGCAGTGCTTACTCTTTAGTAACAGCTTGGGGGCTGTTAACATTAGGCTCCGGTCCGTCAGCATCGCAATTACGGCGGATCTCTTTCAGCTAAACTTTCCCATGGAAGTTATGTGTCTCCTGGAGCCACCATTGAATATAGTCTACGCCCGCACTTTCAGCCTAGGTAGCTGTATTGGGTAGACATGGTTGTTAAATAAACCATTTGTCGTGGAGAACTCGAAAATGGATCTGATCTCATGACGGCGAGGGATTGGTCCTTCGAAACCTAGAGATCCAGGCATAAATATCTATGCTTATTCATCATTAGTGATAGATAGACTGCCAGCATTTAGCGCTTATAAATACATAATAATATCACCAATGTCTCCTTTCGTTACTTGTGGGACTCATAAAATATAACTGTCAGTAGTATGTATTCTATAAGAACCGATTATCAGGCAAACAGGAACAGCTTATGCGCTTGTCCCCAGTTATCAAATTTAGAGATATGCATGTGAGATATAACAGTGGCACGAAACATGGCGTAAAGGTGAAGGGTCATAGTAGGATATAATGTAGTAAATGGGTAAGAAGAGTGTGATAATAATCATTTTGGATACCAAAACACCTGGTCATCATAACAGCATGTCAAAAGTATGCCAACCGCGCTATGCAAAGTATAATGAAGAGAGCAACTCCTTGAGATTGGGTATCATTAATATTTCATGCCTCCAAGTCCAGAAAAGAAAGAAACCACCGTTGGTGATGATGTTCGTCAACGCAGGGCATGCGCGGCATACAGGGCCCTACCAAGCGGTGAAACGAGAGCAAGCGCCGGCTGCTGCGATAGCATCAGGAGTCAGACAGATCATAGTCTTCGTCGGCATCGCTGACTTCCTGGCCCCAGCGATTAACGACTATACGTCTGCCTAGCTGATCTTCTGGTACCGCGTCGCGAGAAGCACCAAAGTCGAGAACCTGCACGACAATCAAATCAGCGAGAGAAAAAGCAGAAACCTAACCAACTGAACCTACCTCGATATAAGTCAAACTATCACGCTGCACCGCAGCAACACATTTCCGGTCGTTGAACTTGACCTGCCATACCCCGCTAAGGTCGGTGAGAAGATCTCGCACGCACTCTCCAGTCCGCACATCCCACATTTTTAATGTCCTATCAGATCCTGAGATAACCTTCTGGCCATCATGCTGAAAGCATGTGATAGCACCTGTATGAGCGCTCAGCATATTTTTGCATTTACCAGTTTCTGGATCCCAAATCCTCAGGGTCGAATCTGCGGCTGCTGAAACCAGTCGATCACACTTCAGGTCAAGTAGCCCAACCAGGGAGGAGTGGCCCTCAAGGTCGTACAAAAGCGCTCCGGTTTCGAGGGACCACACTTTCACCATGTTATCCATGGAGCCACTAATACAGCGGTTTCTTTTGTGGTCTAGCACCACGCTGTACACTTTCAAGGAATGGCCTTGGAGTCGGTGAAGAGCTTCTCCAGTGGAAATCTTCCAGACTCTCACCGTGCAGTCATAGCTTCCGCTGACTAGAGTATCACCGTGCGCAGCGATCGTGCGAACGGAGTGCTGGTGCCCTGCAAGAACGCGGACAAAGTAGGGGCAGTCGGTATCGTCGACATGCGGTCCGCTTTGGTAGTAGACAGGATCACCCGGTTTAGGAAGCTTCCAAATTCGAAGATTTGAGTCTCGTGAGCCAGTGATGATCAAGGGCTCCTTTGGCATCATCTCAGGGGTGCCGTCTGCCTTTTTCCCTACTTCTGTCGGTAGAACAATTTGCAAACATCGTACTGTGGACGTATGACCGTGAAAAATCTGAGTACACCTCGCCCTTTCGATATCCCAAACTCTCACTGATCTATCAGTCGAACCAGAAACTAGAGTATTGCCGTAGTACTCAAGAGCCCAAACACCACCCTCATGTCCCTCAAGCGTCGCCCTCAGAGCCCCAGTCCTAGTGTCGTACACATTGATATTGGTATCGTCACTGCCAGTCAAAACCTTATCCGTATCAAACTGGAGACAAGTGACAACATGACGGTCATGGGCTCGAAAAGCGATATGACGTGGTTTCACATTGGGTTTCATCCAACTAGTATAGATTGAGTGGTGGCGCTGATAGAGAGATTTGTAAAGATGCAGCCCTCGCAGGGACGGTAAGCCAATATCTGGATATGGAACGGCTGCGGCAGCAGCATTCGCGGCAGCATAGGGCCCTTCTGCCGCAGTGACTGACATTCTCCAATCAGAGGATTCAGGATTATCAGTCCCGCTGGATGATAATTTTCGTTTTGCAAGCTTACGGCTGGAGACTCGTGTGCATGCTTTTCTTTTCGGGCGGCGATGCGCAGACGAAGGCCTATCACTAGGCCCTGGCAGTGGTTGCATAGAAGGAGAACCGGACTCGGGATCAGGTTTGATTACAGGAGACGACATGCCTAGGTCCCTCTCGTAATCTTCGCCCCCGTTGGGAAACTGCCATCCCCACCCTTCCCTGATTGCACGCTCCAGCTCTCCATCTGGGAGAACATATCCATCTCTATCGAAAAGTTCCTTCCAACTCTTTTCATCAGAATTGATGATATGCCTCCATTTCTTAGAAACTTGTGCGGCACGGCACATTGTCTGAACATCAAGGTATTTCACAATATTTAGGCTTAGTTCAAGCGGCAGAAGAGCCAGGAAATCGCATTTTAAGGCTGGATTGACGACATCAGCAACGAAATGCAGAGTCGGCTTCGGACACCGCCTCAGCAACTGGTACATGAGGTAGGTCTTCAGCCCTTCGGGAACAGAGTCAAAGAAGTCTAATACACTGGGGATATCCATTAACGATGTCGGCCGTAGTGTATCAGAACTCGTGGGTAAAACGTTAGGTCTGGAACGGTGCGGCGCAGTGGTCCTCAGTTCTTCTGCACGTAGAGAGCTCACAATGCGATGATCGTTGTTGTCAAAGCTGGAATCTGTATCGGCTTCGGGATCCTCAGCCGAATCAAAGGAAGAGTCGACATTCATTGCATTCATCGCAGCTACGGGAGACAAGCTGGGGCTTGGTAGGCACATGTCCTGGACAGTCACGCCACCAATGTTTGCGAATTGTGATATTGACTCCAGAGAGCTTTGCTGGGGAGCTTCCTGAGACGTTTCATATCCAGTATCTTGGCTCGTGGAAGTTCCCGATTCATCTTCCGGCCCACCGTCTGTCTCTAGTTCTTGCGCAATGGCTAGCCTGCTTGGGTCACCCTCTGAACATGCCAAGCGCCTGCTCCTTTCGGGGACAACAGTCGATTCCGGTTGATCTTTTCTGGTACTGGGAGCTCTGGAGCCCTCCTGGGATTCGACTCCGGATGATAGAGGTGGGCGTAGCAGCGGTTCCCTGCGAGAGGCATTCGCACTGTGAATTCTCCTCCTAGGCAGTAAGCTTTCACCAGCACTATAATTGTTGCTTTCCGTTTCAGGCGTCGCCAAACCAGCCACCATAGGATGTGTTGCTGTGGAACCATGTGAACGGGT